AACTCACTCAGTACTTCTCAATGACTGCAAGAATGCAGACAGAGAGAAAGAGAAATGATTGCTTTTACATCCTATATGGGTGTAAAAGCAATCAGTGTAAAAAAACAAAAAAAAAACAAATCTTCATCACCCCCCACAAGTAGTACAGTGTCACCATGGTGACACTGTACTGCTAGGGTGACATTATGTAAAAAAAAAAAAAAAAAAAAAAATAATAAAAAAAAAAAATAAAATACAAATGTAAAAAAAAAATGTTTAAAAATTATAATTTTTGGTTATAAACTAATTTGGATTTTGTTTTTTACTAAAAAAATAACGGAATAAATTTTGGCCAAGATTTATGATGAAATATTATTTATTTGCAAAATTTTATAAAAAAAAAACTTTTTTTCAAAACTTTTGGACTTTTTCATTTACATATTAAAAAAAATAAAAATCCCAACGGTGAATAAATACCACCAAAATAAAGCTTTATCTGTCTCAAAAAAATGGTAAAAAATTCATATGGGTACAGTATTGCATGACCGCGCAATTGTCATTCAAAGTGTGATAGCGCTGAAAGCTGAAAATTGCCCTGGACAGGAAGGGGGTAAAAGTGTCCGGACAGGAAGTGGTTAACAGACCAAGTGGTCCAGGCAAAAGTAGCAGTTAAAGGGATGAGATCAACCATCTAGCACTGACAGGGGTGTTTACGGTTATCAGCCTAATTTCATTTTGTATAAAATCTCTATCCCAAAAAGAAAACACTGTTGTAACTGTTTAAAAAGTGTTAGCTGGAGTTCAGCTGTAATATTTATTATTGTTACAGGTACTTATATAGCACTGTCAATTTACGCAGCGCTTTACATATATATTGTACATTTACATCAGTTCCTAACCCTCAAGGGGCGCACAATCTAAGGTGATATTTGTTAGATTTGTTAAATGTGCTAATGCTTCTAACACCAGGTACACATAGGAAGCTTTTCTTTCATTCAACCCAGCGGGCTGAATGAAAAACTTATAGATGACCCTACTAACACATCCAATAAGTGTGGCAATCTCCCCGCTGAGCTACTGTGTTCTGATAGGGGGGCCACCCCCTGCCAGGACACAATGATCAACACTTGCAGCCATTGGCTGTGAGCGCTGATCGGATGCTGGATTTCCAGCATGCTCGTTCGACAGAAGTTGGTCATGTGACCGGCTTCTGTCACAACAAGGAGCCGTATACACAGGTTGAAAGTTGGATGGTTCCTGCCGAATTGACCGATTCAGGTGATATCCTATGTGTACCCAGCTACCTTTTCTCCTGATTGACAGTTCTGCTGTCCAAAGGTGTGTCCATTGCTTCTTCATCCAGAGTGGACATATTAGAACAGGAAATGTGTTACTGGCTCGATCACCAAGTGAAAATAAAGGAAAAAAAGCATTAAGAATAATGCAACCACCACATTTAAGAATCGGTAAACTGTAATATAACAAATTTTTGTTTTTGGGTTTCCTACGATTTTACTAGTCCTTCAGCCTACAATGTTTATCCACAGATTCATTAAAGTGATAGTAAACCGCACTTAAGAAAAAAAAAAAAGTTTTCCCCTGAAAGATAATTTCATAATGTGCTAATATGCATTGCATACTAAGCATATTATGAAGGACTTGCCTTAAAATGAAGCCCTCCAGTGGTGTGTTGTCACCGCTGCAGAGGTTTCCATCTTCACCTGGTTTCCTTCTGAGTTCATGAGCCACGGCCGTCTGACTGGCCGAGCCACAATGATGTCACTCCCATGCATGCGTGTGGGAGTCCCAAGCCACTGCATAGTCCTCTGAAGGAATGGTACCGGTATGCCATTTCTTCAGAGCGCATGCGCCAGCTGTCAAAAGGAGCGAATATCTCCTAAACGGTGCTTAGCAAGCTTACCTGTAGGTAAAAATAAAAAAAAACGGAGTTTACTACCACTTTAATGGTATCATGAGTGTTTTACATACATCTCTAGACTACATCTCTTCCATTTTCACCTCCCACCTCTTAATTGCCCCATCATGACCTTCTAGATTAAATAAAGATTACTTCTGCTTTCTGTATAATTTATACTTTCATATATTTCTTTTACATTAAAAATTAACAGTTTATTTTCCTTTTTTATATAAATTACAAGAATGCAAATAGTAACAGTAAATCACACATCTAGAAATTAAAACGTAACTCCAGCCAAACCATTTTTTTTCGTTTTGGATAAAATACTGAATGGCTAGAACCTTATTCAGGCTTCTAATGCCCTTTGAGTCCCCTTTGGAAATACTTCCCTTCACTCCACAATCTAGTGATTGTTGTCTGCATGGGCAGTGAGTGAAATCTCTCCAACTTGGGTTTGGACCATAAAAAAAACACTTCTCCACTGTAGTGAAAACGTTTTTCCCTGACACCAACATAGCATACATGTGGTTACGTATACTGCCATGGATTGGCACCACTGAAGTAAAATTATGGGAAGTATTTGATACAACTTTTCATTTTTTTTATTGCTGTATGCATCCTCATATCAATGATTTCTACCACTTCCTCTTTCAATGACCACCGTAACTGAATTAGAAATCTTCTGCTATGGGGGTCCAAAGAGAAACCACAAACTGAAAGAGGTTGTAAACCTCCCCCACTCTATCCACAACAAAAAAAAACATTTCGGCTGGAGTTCTACTTTAGGTAAAGTTAGAGCTCCATGCATAACTCTACCTATCTGCACCTTTCAGGCAAATCAGATATTGTATTTATAGAATGTACTACAGGACTATATGGGCATTCCATCTTGCGCTTGTACAGACTCATGAAATATGGAATGTGCCCAGTGGCAATGTTCTAGTTCTGCTGTGCTTGTACAGACTGTTGAAGTATATGCCCATTGCTAATGCTGAATTTATGCAAATGTTCTGGTTGAGTGTCAGTCATCAAGTACTGCCCGTGGAATGGTTACCCAGCATTCCATGTGCATACATTGCCCTTAATTCAAATTTGAACAAGGCAAAAAATAAATAAAACCGACCCCAATGCCTACTTTACTAGCCTAAAAAACAAGACTATTAATAAATATAATTTACAAATCTGATTATTCTGATGCCACAGAAAATACAGCATCTACCCAAAAGGTGCAAAATGGTAGATCTATACTTTAGTTTACTTTACAGATCCAGTCTTAGAAAGTGCTTGTTTGGTTCAAGGAGAATACAGTTTTGTAATGCAAAGAATACAACGTAGAGAGATGGCTTTCAATATATTATCTTGAGCACTTGCAACTGCGTTATTTAAGTCCCAACAGAGTTCTCAATCGAAGCTACCATTGCATTCTACGGTTTATCCTTTTAACCTATTCCAGTTACTGGTGCATAGATCTATACAAATGTTCTACTGCATGGCACCAATATGCCAGACAAAACCTAGAGCTCATGTAACAGTAATTATGTACAGCTCTATGGTAGAATTGAAAATACAGCCTTTGTAGGATGTCACAGTTCAATTTTATTTCTAGCCATCAGAATTATTTATGTGCATTCACAGGCCATAGACACTGACAATGTCTGATATCACCTTGTTTTTGGCAGTGTATACGATGTGTGCAGTCCCTGTATTATGACCCTACCACCAACCCAAGCGTAGAGGGATTTCCCTTCTAAATCTCAGTATTACTGTCATCAAAGGTTTGCCTTAGCATAGACATCCCAGGGTATTGACAAGGTAAACATGGCCACAGCCTGTGATAATCTGTTCATCTCAGGGCACAATCTTATCTTGGATACACAGCTTTAACGTATCTTCTACAGGGAACATACATCTGTACAATATAAAATAAGGCATCCCTCGATTCTGGCTTTTTCATTCTCTATCTTTTGGAATAACTGGAAATAGTCAAACTTGTTCTTTTCCTGTATTTTTTCAGTATCTGTAATATTTGGGTTGAACTCAAATCAGAAGATTAAGCAGAGCACAGAAGATTGGTCCTGTAAAACCCTATGAAACTACAGGAAGCCTTATCTCTGTAGACTATGAAGAAAATCCATTGACTTACTAAAGGTGCTGAAAACACAACCAGGGAGGTTATCAAGGTTGTCACATCAGTTATAAAAGAGGAATCCTAATCGATCAAAGGGCTGAAATTACAGACTAGACACATGTAAGGAGATTGAACCAGTGACTTAAAGAGCACCTGTCACCTACAGATTTCAAAACCTGTAAACCATTTGATGGTGGCTTGAAGCTATTTTGTGAAAGCATTGGGGCACATATAGGGATTACCATTTGAACCCTGTTTCAAATACTACAAAGGAGGTAAAACTACCATATAATTAAGATTAATTATACCTCATGGACACTTTTATTGTAATATGTAGTCTAGTTAGTTCTGCCTGTGCAACTTCCCCTGTGTGCAGACCTGATATATTTAAAGCTATTCAACCCAATCACAGGGCAGCATGTGGACCCATTACAGCTCTGTGAAAGATTATGCCATAGATACATAATCTCAGTGACATAACAGTTGTCTGAACTCTCAGAAAGCTGTTTAGGGGGTCTCATTAAATTGCATGAAAATTGTAAACTGGAAGAAATTGGCACTTTATATTTTAACTATCAAATGTTCAAGAAGAAATGGGGTATTGGATAACTTGGTAACACAGAAAACCCCTTTAATGACAAAATCTTCATGAGGTACATTTTTCTGGAGGGTTCAGACTCATACATTTCTCCCACACTTTGTGTGTAGATGGCAGGTGCACTTGAAAGGTGTAACTTTTCTCCAGAATGTGGAACATTTACCTCCAGTCCTTCGTGGGGTTGGACAAAACCAAGCTAACACAAGGAAATATAGCAAAATAACTCGGACACTGGACTGGTGAAAAAATACACCTTTAGTCAATTACCCAGTGAATATTTTGCAGTAAACTTTGGAAAACAGTGAAATTTATGGTATTTGTTTCTAAATCTAAAGCTTATTTCCCACAACAGAAGAGAGCTCAGCTCCATTTCTTCTTCACAGGCTGCTATAGATACGCTTTATTACATTAGCTTCTTCCTGATCGAGGATTCCCTTTTCTACGTACGAATCTGCTTGCTGATCAATGAAGTCTCTCAGTTTGGAAAGATCATAATCTGGAAAGATATTCAAATTATGGGTGAATCTTTAGGAACACAAATATCTAGCAAGCAGTCAGCATTAATTTTGAATGCAAATGTTTCCATCTCTATATAAATGTAGTTTGTCTACGGCAGTGGTCTCCAAACTGTGGCCCTTTGCTTGCCCCTTATCCAGCCATTGGGACATTGTGCCTCCCACTGACACCAACAATGAGGCACTATTGCTTTCCCTGACACCGATGAGAGGGTACTAGTCCTCCCACTGACACCAATGATGGGGCACTATTCCTTCCATTGACACCAATGATGGGACACTATTCCTTCCATTGACACCAATGATGGGACACTATTCCTTCCATTGACACCAATGATGGGACACTATTCCTTCCATTGACACCAATGATGGGGCACTATTCCTTTCACTGACACCAATGAGAGGGTACTAGTCCTTCCACTGACACCAATGATGGGGCACTATTCCTTCCATTGACACCAATGATGGGGCACTATTCCTTCCATTGACACCAATGATGGGACACTATTCCTTCCATTGGCGCCAATGATGGGACACTATTCCTTCCATTGGCGCCAATCATGGGACACTATTCCTTCCATTGACACCAATGATAGGGCACAATTACACCTAATACCACAGATGGGGCATTATTTACTTCCACTTATGCCAGGCCATTTTCTACTCCCACTGACCATACTCCGACCCCCCCCTAAAGTCAGATGGACAGTAAACAGGCCCTTTGTGTAGAAAGTTTGGAGACAATCCTGCATTAGAATATTACCAAGCATTGTGTTTTTATGACTGAAGCTAATAAGTTATCTAAAAAGTTAGGGAGATGTAGATATAAGATCACTGGTTCAAAAGTAATGACACAAGAAGTCATTAAACACAGATATTAAAATTGCCATCTACTATTTTTTAACACAGATAAGATGGCCATAGGTGTTTCGAATCTTAGCTGGTTCAGCAGGAGCCAAGATTCAGATCATTTATGGGCAGGCTGATTGTACCCAAGTCGATCCATTGATTGACTTGGGTACAACCAGCATGTCGTTTTTTTTACATGTGATCGTTGCCAGTGGCTAATGCTGCTAGCAATATTCACTGGGGTTGATTTACTAAAACTGGAGAGTGCAAAATCTGGTGCAGATATGCATAGAAACCAATCAGCTTCCAGGTTTTTTTTTGTGAACGCTTAGGCCAGCCATACATGGGTCGAAATTTGACCGATTTGTCATCTGAAAATCGGACCTAAGAATAATCAGCCGATTAGTGCTCTGTTAGTGGGTCAATGGCACTGGTCGAGTTTTGTGGTTCCTCCTCTTTTTGGTGATCAGGCATGTTGGAACATTTGTGAAAAATGACCGATTTTTGACTCAATGATGGTCAAATCGTATGATCGTTTTTCCAAAAAGAATATGCGCATGAGCAGTAACCTGGAAGGAACAAAAGTTTTGCATGTTATATGGAGTGAACTTTATGACTTGGTTGGCTGATTTTCAAAATCATTGATGGCACCATCGGATTACTGAGCGAACGGTGTTTTCAATTTTCGGATGAAAAATTGTTCGGAATTCGAACCATGTATGGCCTGCATTAATTGAACAAGCTGAAGTTAGATGCTGATTGGCTACCATGCACAGCTGCACCAGATTTTGCACTTTCCATTTGAAGTAAATTACCCCAGTGTGTTCTCCTGGCAGGGACGATTCCCTGCCCCCCTGCTAGGAGAACACATCAGGTCCCTAAAACTCTGCACCAGTGGTTCACCTCCTATTTTTGAATGGGTCCTCTTTGCGACTAGGGGGATCATTTTTCTCATTTTCCAGGGCAACGCCTTTACAGCTTGCTGGGAAGGGTGGGGTTTAAAAACACAGCTTAATTGCCTGTTTTTACACCCCATCCCCAACCAAAAATATAAACTAGGCCTTACTCCCCAAGCCTTCTGCATAAAGATATGGTTTCCACACTCTGCATTGATAAAAGCCAACAAATTTTAACCCCTTCTCGCTGACGTCACATAAATATGCGGCCTCAAGGAACTGGGCCTTTTTGATGGGGCCGCATATTTGCATACCCGTCTTTGTGTTTGGAGCGCACTATGCGCTCCCAGCACAAAGACCATGGTGTCACTGAGAGCCTCGGGTCCCGTTCTAACAATCGGGACCCGGGACTCCCGATTCCGGGTCACATGATCACTGTGATAGCCTCTGATTGGCTATCACAGTGATCAGTCACTGTACAGCCCAGCCCCCCTTGTTTTTTTTATCTCTCTATGAATGGAGAAGAGCGATACACTGTATCTCTCTAACTTCTGGCATAGAGGGAAAAAAAAATGTTTGTAATAAATAAATAAATAAATATTACAAAATAAAAGAAAAAATAAAGAAAAAATACCTAGATCAAGGTTTGAGCTAGTTCAGTGCCAGGGTTACTGTTTGGGTCAAGGTCAGAGTCAAATGTCAGGATTAAAAAAAAAAAAAATTGGTATCAGTGTCAGTTAGTGTCAATGTGTTTTAGGTAAAAAAAAGACAAAAACAAAATGCGCACTATTGTTTTTGGGCTGTACTACAGGTACAAACAACAAATAACTGCAATCGTCAAGAGCTGCAGAATTTATTTTGGGTTGCTCTTTGGTGGTAGGTTATGGTAGGTACAAGAAACACACAGCTAAATTAAAAAAAAAATTTTTTTTTTTACTATTTTGGGCCAGTTTTCCTTTGATAATAAAAAAAAATCAGAAAAATATCCATTACCATTTACCACTAAATGAAAACCCAATCTGTCCTGAAAACGCGGTATAATTCACCTGGATGTACAAAGTAGTTGTGATGATATGTACAGTTTTACTAACACATGTTAACGTTGCAAAATTGTTCTTAGGCATTTAGATTTGTTTTACCCTTAGGCGTGAAGGGGTTAAACAGCTGTTTTAAAGTAAAAATTCCACGACTCTTTCATTTTTGAGCTTTATCTGTGCTATATGTCAGCGATCAATGTTATTTGTAAATACCTTCTGTTTCAAGATGGCGGCGCTGTACATCACATTATCAATAAATTGTCCATGAAATAACACTGCGGCCTATTTCCATAGTGTCATGTTTGCTCAAAATTTTAGGATTGCTTTTACCTTCTTTGCTTCCTTGCTTGTGTTTTTTCAGCCACTCGATATTCTTTCTGATTGCTTCTAAATATGCTTCTCCTTTCCCTGGAGAAAAACAGCAGGGATGATTTATAATTGATGAGTGGGAAAAGAGACTGACGTGATCACACTACGGTATATCCTGTATGCTTTTATTAGAACAGCGCTCTCTTTTCCCTTGTCTACAGCATAACAGTGATTTAAGGATGATCATGGACAAGTTGAAAAGCTGTTGTGATTTTTTAAGACATCTACATTGCGTTGCATTGTGTTGTATGAGTAACCAAAGTTACAGGGTAGCTTCTTTTTTTTTTTTTTTCTTCCAACAAAGTCTTAACATAACCTAATAGCTTTTGCTTGCCAGAATAAAACCAGCCTAAAGGATTAATAAACCAGTGTCAAATACATGAGAGGCTCCGGCTCCCAATTGACTTTACTTATTGCTAAACTCAACATGGCTCAAACATTTCACTTTACTTTTTAAGACCAACAAAAGTGGTTGGCGTATGGTATGAATTCATAATTAAAAGAATACGAACCTAAAAAGCAGCTTATGTAAAGTTATTATTAGGCTACGTTCACACTAGCTTTGTCAGCAGGCATCAGACAGGCGTTTGGGAAGCGTTTTTAACGCTTCTCAAATGCTTATGAAAATTATGTACATGGCAGCACACAGTGCTGTTCACACTAAAGCATTAGCATCGCGGCAAAAACTGATGTCTTTTGTCGAGTCAGGAGGAGTTGAAGCCTCCCATTCAAGTCCATGGTGCCGCTCCTCAAACGCCTGGCAGGTGTTTGCGAGGCAGTTGCGGAGCGTTAATACCATTTAACTTCATTATAGGCGTTTGTGGTGCGGTTTTAACGCTTGGCAAACGCCTATCAACCACCTCAAAACCACGCATAGGGTGTTTTGGGAGCGTTTGGGGTGCGTTAAAATGCTTCCCAAACGCCTGTCAAACGCTATAGGAGCGTTTGGTAAGAGTTAGAAATAAAGTCAAGTGTGAACGAGCCCTTACAGTTAGGCCCCATGTACACGGGAAACTGACTGCTGGAAAACGTAGGTTAAAAAACGTCTGTTTAGCCGCGCTTGCATAATGCGTTTATGAGCATTTGCATTTAGAAGCATTTTTTAAAGATAAGCACAGGAGAACCTCCCAAATGCCCAGAATTCACTGAAAAGTGGTAAATTATTAACTATTTCAGACTGTTTCAGAAAAATACAGAGAGTAGAAGCAGAGAGAGCAGTATGTGTTGAGATTAACTTAGGTGTGAGTTGCTCATTAACATTTCTTTTGTTTCCAAGGGTGGGAAAGGTGTCTGGTGGAATGAGTCATTAAGGCAACCTGGCGGCGGGTCTTCATGAGGAATTTGAGGTGTGAATGTCCATTAACATATCTTTTGTTTCCATGGGTGGGAGAAGAAGTCTGAGGTGTGACTTGGTGATCACAATGTGTGACAAGCTTGGTAGGAACATCCTGTGTTCAGTGTTTTGTCCATTTGAGTACCTTGAAAACACTTTGCATGCATTTTTCATGATAAAAAAAGGCTCTGGACAGCATCAGGAATGTGAAGAGTTAAAAAACAATTTAAAGGCAAACGCTTATAAAAAGCGATTTGCTGCGTTTAGAAGTGTTTTGGGTTTGAAACGCTGATAAAACCGACTGCTGAATGCAAGTTTTCTGCATTCAAATAAACGACTGTACATGGACACATAGGAAAACATTAGGGTGAGTTCAGGGGCTGCTGAAAAAAAACGCTGAACAGCTCCTAAGTGTGAGTTTCTCAGCTACAGTGTACATGAGCCCTTACCTATGGATGTCTGTGTGGTATGGTTTAATGAATTGTTATGCATAAGCTCTTTTTTTCTGTTTGTGCCCCAGCAAGGGGATTTCTCCTCACTTCCGGTCCAAGACCACATCTCTTTCATGGAAACACCAAACGCAATTAAAATCCCGACAAAAGATATATATTTCCCCATTTTTCTAAAAATGTGTTTAGCGCCTCGCATTCTCGTTGGGAAGATTTTTTGCCAACCTAAAGCTACTAGCAAGCAAACATTGCATTGGCCCTGGGAGAGGTGAGGGGAGATTTCACTCTATGGAAAAGAATGGCAGTTTTGCTTTTAAAGGATAAGTTCACCTTTTCAGGGTGTAACATGTTACGATTTGACCGTCCCCTGCTCCCCCTGTTTGACAGCTAGCGGGGGATCTCAAACCTCCCCTGCTAACTGTCAAATTAAAAAAAAAGTGGGCTTGCGGGGCTCCACCCACACAGCCGCGTCACTCATTTGCTGTCATCTGTGAGTGAGGGACTACAAGTCCCAACAGCCTTATTGTCTGTCAGCTTGTAGTCCTCAATGAACTACCACGGCACTTCACAGCAGCATAGTAGTTCATTCATTCTTCCTGTCAGTAAATGTGCTTGACAGTACATCCCGTACGGCCAACCAGATATACTGACAGATCTGCAGGACACCTGCATGGCGCCAACGATCTTCTGATGGCGGGTGCAATTGTTTCCAGACTCCTACAGACAAAAATAAAAAATGCACATTTTTTTACCTGCAAAAAAATGTGCATTTATTATTTTCTTCTAAAAGGTGAACTTATCCTTTAACTATGTGTTCAGTATATCACTGAACGCATATTTAAAAGAAGAACACATTCACTGTACTTATCATCGAATACCTTTGGGTTTTATAACATCTGCAGATTCTTTAGGCTCCTCGAGTTTTGTAGAATCCTTGATTTTCTCATACTCCTTTTCCATGTTAGCTGCAGCTTCTTTGGTGCTATCGGCCTCTTCATCTATTTTGTCAGCTACATCAAGAAATGACAGGGCGTTACATCTCTTAGCTTGTGTCTTGTGGGATCATCGATGAATAAATAATTCATGTTCTTGAAAAATGCAAACATTCAACTTTCATCTCAGCTTGATTGTAGAATACACAAGGAGGAATCAGTAAATGGTGTACCATGTATTCTATAGTTTGGTGTTCTGCCATTCCAACATTTATTGCTAAAATAATGGCTGACTCTGATAAAGTAAGGGATCATGGGTAATGTTCACTATACCATATGATACATTCTCAAGCAACATAGCTGTGACATGCATGGCTTGTTACAGTGCCATAGTGTATTGTCTATGTTCTATATTGTCTATATTCCCATTGCACACATTCCTGGACACTTGTTAGTAACAGTGCTGCAGCGACCACCAGCTGGATACTGGACTCATCATGATGATCAATGCACATATTCACCAGCACACCTTGGATCATCAAATGTTGTCCAAGACTTTTAGTGCAGAAAGACCACATCACAAAGGACCAAGTGCAATGTTTCTGAGCCATGCAGGATCCCTATGACAAGCTTGTGATAACGTCATTCCATGCCTGACGAACGGGTCCTGTGCAGGTCTGAAACATTGCACTTGGTCCTTTGTGATGTGATCTTTCTGCACTAAAAGTCTTGGACAACATTTGATGATCCAGGGAGTGCAGGTGAATACAGTATCTCACAGTACACCCCTCACATTTTTGTAAGTATTTTTATTATATCTTTTCATGTGTCAACACTGAAGAAATGACACTTTGCTACAATGTAAAGTAGTGAGTGTACAGCTTGTATAACAGTGTAAATTTACTGTCCCTTCAAAATAAGTCAACACCCAGCCATTAATGTCTAAACTGCTGGCAACAAAAGTGAGTACACCCCTAAGGGAAAATGTTCAAATTGGGCCCAATTTGCTATTTTCCCTCCCCGATGTCATGTGACTCGTTAGTGGTACGAGGTCTAAGGGGTGAATGGGGAGCAAGTTTGTTAAATTTGGTGTTATCGCTCTCACTCTCTCATACTGGTCACTGGAAGTTCAACATGACACCTCATGGCAAAGAACTCTCTGAGGATCTGAAGAAAAGAATTGTTGCTCTATATAAAGATGGTGTAGGCTATAAGAAGATTGCCAAGACCCTGAAACTGAGCTGCAGCACGGTGACCAAGACCATACAGTGGTTTAACAGGACAGGTTCCACTCAGAACAGGCCTCGCCATGGTCGACCAAAGAAGTTGAATGCACCTGCTGAGCATCATATCCAGAGGTTGTGTTTGGGAAATAGACGTATGAGTGCTGCCAGCTTTACTGCAGAGGTTGAAGGGGTGGGGGGGTCATCTTGTCAGTGCTCAGACCATACGCCTCACACTGCATCAAATTGGTCTGCATGGCTGTCATCCCAGAAGGAAGCCTCTTCTAAAGATGATGCACAAGAAAGCCCACAGTTTGCTGAAGACAAGCAGACTAAGGACATGGATTACTGGAACCATGTCCTGTGGTCTGATGAGACCAAGATCAACTGATTTGGTTCAGATGGTGTCAAGCGTGTGTGGCGGCAACCAGGTTGAGGAGTACAAAACAAGTGTGTCTTGCCTACAGTCAAGCATGGTGGTGGGAGTGTCATGGTCTGGGGCTGCATGAGTGCTGCCGGGACTGGGGAGCTACAGTTCATTGAGGAACCATGAATGCCAACATGTACTGTGACATAATGAAGCAGAGCATGATCCCCTCCCTTCGGAGACTGGGCCACAGGGCAATATTCCAACATGATAATGACCCCAAACACACCTCCAAGACGACCATTGCCTTGCTAAAGAAGCTGAGGGTAAAGGTGATGGCCTGGCCAAGCATGTCTCCAGACCTAAACCCTACTGAGCATCTGTGGGGCATCCTCAAACGGAAGGTGGAGGAGCGCAAAGTCTCTAACATCCACCAGCTTCGTGATGTCGTCATGGAGGAGTGGAAGAGGACTTCAGTGGCAACCTGTGAAGCTCTGGTGAACTCCATGCCCAAGTGGGTTAAGGCAGTACTGGAAAGGAAAACAATGGTGGCCACACAAAATATTGACACTTTGGGCCCAATCTGGACATTTTCACTTAGGGGTGTGCTCACTTTTGTTGCCAGCGGTTTAGACATTAATGGCTGTGTGTTGAGTTATTTTGAGGGGACAGCAAATTTACACTGTTATACAAGCTGTACACTCACTACTTTACATTGTAGCAAAGTGTCATTTCTTCAGTGTTGTCACATGAAAAGATAGAAAAAATTATTTACAAAAAATGTGAGGGGTGTACTCACTTCTGTGACATACTGTGTGTGCATTGATCAGTGTCATAGTGCAGGGAAAAGTGGAAAATGAACCAATCTATACACTGCACCCTTTGGCCTTTACAATGTGTAGCAGTGCAGAAGTATCTCCCTCATTATTGCACATGTAAGCAGGGACAATCAGTCAATTTTCACCTGCAATAAAAAAGACATTCTATAATGGCCTACACACTGGGTATGAAGGAAGTGACCCTTCCCTGCCACTACAGCTGGGCTTATAGGAAATGAACATTTAGAGAGGAAAACATCTCTATTAACCAATAAATGTGATTGCGGGTTAGAGGCGTATACCTTAGTAGCACCACATTTAACATTGTGTAGGAATGGGATTTTAAAGGTGTTTGCTTTAAGGCACCCATTCCTACTCAATGTTAAATCTTTGCTGTATTCTTCTACTGACCACTTAGCAACTGTCCACTTGCAATGTACTGCGGATGGGTGGCCGCTGTAAGCAAAGCAATGTACCCATACGTTGTTGCCTACTTGCAGGTTTCGGGGGCTTGCATGCGCACCAGCTGTCGGAACCCGCTGTGATTGTACATATCGGGAGCCTGTCAGCAAGTGCCAGCCGATGATTCAAAGCCGGGACCTGCAGATTGGCTGTTTACAATCACAGCCTAAAGCTCTGTGTTGACAATCAACACAGAGCTCTGTACAAAGGGAACAATCTCTGCTTCTCTGTGTTTAGAAATCTCTTAGTAAAATCAGCAAATTTTACACACATTACACATAGTTAGGAACACATTTAACCCCTTGATTGCCCTTGATGTCAACCTCTTCCCAGCCAGTGTCATTAGTACAGTGACAGTGTATAATATTATCACTGATCAATGTATTAATGTCAGTGGCAGTTAGTTAGTTCCCCCCAGCATCAGTTAGTGTCAGCTGCACTATCACAGTCTATCACTGCCATTAGTAGTATAATAGTATAAAAAAAAATAAAAAATACTGACTATACAGCAGGTAAAATATGTTTTGAACACATCACTATTTTTCTCAGTAAATATATTTCTAAAGGTGCTATTGACATGAAATTTTCACCACGTCGGTAACAACCCATGCAATCCATATATAGAAAGAAACCAAATCAAATAAGTTTAGACATTAAGTTATGTGCAAAAAAATTGAATGACACAGGGAAAAAGTATTGAAGACATGAAGAAAGGGAGGTGCAAGAAAGACATGGCAAGCCAAGACACCAGCTGAAATCTACCAGTAATTAAAAAGCAACCCTGCCCCTTGTCAGTGCAAATTAATATCAGCTGGTTCAGTCTCAACTGATAGCCTATAAAAAGGTGTCTCAATATCAAGGTGTCACACAAGAAACATCTCATGATAGGTAAAAGCAAAGAGCTTTGCAACCTTACTGTTGCAAAACATACCAATGGCATTGGTTACAGAAGGATTTCTAAACTTCTGAATGTTCCAGTGAGCACTGTTGGGGCCATAATCCGGAAATGGCAAGAACATTATTTCACCATAAAACGGCCACGACCAGTTGCTCCTCACAAGATCTCTAACAGAGGAGTGAAAAGAATTATCAGAAGAGTTGTCCAAGAGACAAGGACCACTTGTGGAGAGCTTCAGACAGACCTGGAGTTAGCAGGTACAATTGTTTCAAAGAAAACAATATGTAATGCACTCAACTGCCATGGCATGTATACACACTCACCATGCAAGACTCCATTGCTGAAGAAAAAGCATGTTGAAGCTCATTTAAAGTTTGCTGTACAACATTTAAACAAGCCTGTGAAGTGCTGGGAGAATATAGTCTGGTCAGATGAGACCAAAATTGAACTCCATGGGCACCAAAATACTCACCATGTTGGAGGTCAAATGGCACTGCACTTCACCCCAAAAACACCATACCAACAGTGAAGTTTGAAGGTGGGAACATCATGGTGTGGGGCTGTTTTTCAGCATACGGTACTGGCAAACTTCATGTAATTGAAGGAAGGTTGATTGGAAAAATGTACCAAGACATTCTTGATAAAAATCTGCTGCCATCTACCAGGATGATGAAGGTTAAACGACGGTGGACATTTCAGCAAGACAATGATCCCAAACACAAAGCCAAGGAAACTCTCAACTGGTTTCAAAGAATGAAAATAAAAGCTACTAGAATGGCTCAGTCTATCACCTGACTTGAATCCAGCAGAAAATCTAAGAACGAAAGATCAGACTTCATAGAAGAGGTCCATGGAACCTTCAAGATTTGAAGACTGTGTGGAAGAATGGGGCAAAACCACACCTGAGCAATGCATGTGACTAGTTTCTTCATACAGGAGGTGTCTTGAAGCTGTCATTACCTACAAAGGATTTTGTACGAAGTATTAGATAAATTTCAGTTAGCGTGTTCAATACTTTTTCCCTGTGTCATTCAATTTTATTACACATAACTTAATTTCTGAACCTATTTCTTTTGGTTTCTTTGTATGTATGGATTACATGGGTTGTTACTGACATAAAATTACTGAGACGGTGACTGAAATGGTGACGTGTTCAATACTTATTTTACCTGCTATATACCATGGTTTGTAGGCAATATAACCTTCACACAAACCAATCAATATATACTTATTGGGATTTTTTTTTTATCAAAGACATGAAGCAGAAAACATTTTGGCCAAAATTTATGAAGAAATTAAAAAAAAAATTTTTTATATTGGATTTGTTTTATGGAAGAAATGTTTATTTATATTTCCAAAAAATAAAAAAAACTGTGGTGTTTAAATACCACCAAAAGAAAGCTCTGTTTGTGTGAAAAAAATTATATAAGTTTTATTTTGGTACAGCATTGAATGATTGTGCAATTACCACTTAAAGTAACACAGCACGGTATAGCAAAAATGGCCTAGTCATGAAGGGGGGTAAAATCTTCCAGGGCCCAAGTGGTTAAAAAAAGAAAACCAGCTATCTTGACCTGCCTATAATATTAATAATTTTGTTTATCTGGTTTTGCGGTCCATAGGGAAGTTGAATTGCATAAATTGCACAACTTACAGGTTTGCCCACAGATCATTCAGAGTGCTGTACCGTATTGGTGGATGGCACCACCATGCAATCATTTCAGTTATAACAAATAACTCTGACCACTAAAAATTGAAATACCTGTTGAGAGCCTGTTTTTCTGATATGTGGAATTATTTCCAAGTTTGTTCTTTGTCTGTACAGCTATCGTGGCATCTAGATTTTCTGCCAAGAAAAGATTCAGAATAGTTAGACATTGAGAGAAAGGATAAAAAAACTGATTAAATGTTTTAAAGGTATACTTAAATAATATGCACATACTGTACTTACTTCAGTAACAAAAACTAAAAGAACATGCACATATAACAAGAATAAGGGAGAAGGTGATGATATAAACCAAATCCTCTGCTGACTGTCTGTTGTAGAAAGGCAATGTTCTCTTTGCAAGCATTTATTGTATGTCCCTGTATCTGTCAAGTGTCTCAAATATTTTTTGGCACTGTGACTTTCGATCTCATTCGCTTGTTGGGTCCTATGTCTCCTACGAACCATATGGAAGTGTGTTAAGCAGTCATATCCCCTCACCACTGCAGCTTCTTTAGCAACCTCCTTCATATTCACACCTGCTATACCAGATTATTTAACCGTGCAGATGTCCCATTACACTGTTCAACAAATTTTTATTTTTTGCCAGTTTTGGAAACAAAAGGATCCATTTCTTAATGAATTTCACATTCTGAGTTCAAATATAACAATGAAATTTGTCAATTGGCTCTAGTTTTTCTGTAAACGGAAAGTTTTCTACTATAGGCGTAATGACTACATAATGCACAATAATTATATAGATAGATGTCTTTCCACAAATATAAAGCAAGTGATATTGACTACATAACAAAGCCTAAATGGCATAATATATTGCATAGGATTACCAAGAAAAATTATAGCCATAAGCTAAGTTGAATCATTTTAATACTTAGGATTCTCACTAGTTTTGTCTTCAGTTTGTGTCGGTTTTGCTTCTCTTGGCTTTTCTCTTATTTTCGAGGAAAGGGCTATCTCTTACAACTGCACGTGACTACACGCTTCAGGTTCTTCCTCACTTGACTCAACCACGAAGGATTCTGGTGCTTTAGGAATTGGTAGCCCCTCTCCATGAGGAACTGGACGTATTGCCGATGGAATATTTGGATAGTGCACAGATAACTTTTTCTTCTTATTTAGCCCTTTTGTTGGAGGCACCATACAAAAGTAACAATTACTAACATGATCTGTTGGCTCTCTCCAAATCATTGGCACAGCGAAAGGCATAGATGCCTTTTTTCCCCATTCAACCATTGCTCCAGTGCCGTCCCACAAGAATTGCAGCATATATGTGGTGCCCAGTTCTTGTCCTGGTCTCCTATCTTGCAGCCAAAATACAAGTTGTAGGCTTTCTTAATCATTCCTGTTATCCTCCTTTTTTGTGAGATAAAAGTTATTTCACCGCAGATATAGCAGAAATTATCTGCTTTATTCACACAAGTTCGAGGCATTACTGAGTAGCCTATATAAGCATAAAACGAAATGTAAAGACGCTGTCGAACTACAATCAGCTACAGATACTGCAGCTTTTATGCAGTGAAGTGATGCAATTAAAGGCTAATATTGCATCATCTCAGTATACATGCAATTTTCTATTGGTCACCAGTATCAATTGCGCAATATGCAGCTGAAGTTGCATCATAATTTTGAATGGCTTACGTCATTAGATGGGTGAATATATCATGGAAACTAGAGCCAATCAACATTTTTTAGGGTCATTTTCATTTTCAGCACCCCAAAATTATGTAAGATTAGCTAATTTTATGCCCAAAACTTTTTACCTGTTGAACAGTGTTATCGGAAAGATAAGGCTTTGTTTCACTTTGGTCAATTGGTGGATGTTAAAAACCAGTAAAACCAGAGTATTGCGCTCCTTCCAGGACCTGCAAGAACCTTATGATCTTCCTAAACAGGCTTTCTTCATTTACGTACGAATTTGCAACTATGCACAATCTCTTACAAACTACCTTTAATTTTCTAAATTGAGAGCATCTAATACAACCTGTATGGTGGGGGCCGTCCTCCAAGGGTTTAATTTCCTGGATGTATAAAATTGATATGTCTCCTCCTGAACAAGACCCACCCTGACATGCATATATGAAAAAATGGGAGTAGATCCGGGGGAAGGAATAACCACTAAAAACATGGCAAATTGTAAGGTCACAAACCTCCAAAAGCTCAGTTTGCACATCGTATAAGGAAAATAAGTATAAAATCCTTTTTCACTGGTACCAAGTCCTCGAACTGCTCCATTCACATCTACTGATAGGTGCTGCAAGAAGAAGTTGGGAATGTTGTACCATATTTCTTGGTCCTGTCTAGTCCCCAAGCCTTATTGGCAGTCCGTTTACACTCTTCTCTATTCCCTCTTTAGGTCCTGGATCCCCTTTGATCCTAAACATTCTCATTGAGACTCCTAGGACTTCCCCCCCACCCAACGTTCTTTAAAACTTCCAAAAAACAGCTGCATGGTGCCTAGTGTCACCACTTAGGTGGAAACAGAAGGATCCTCCCTCTTTGACTGAGTTACATGCCAGGATCCGGGATGTAATGAAGATGGAATACTTTAGAACTTCCCTGAATAATTCCTTAGACAAACATAATCAAGTCTGAGAACTGTGGGACGTCTTGGAGACTCCACTTACCTAACTCACCACCTTCTAGTGGGGACTACCTTGGGGGATTGTGGTGAGGTTCAGCCTCAAGGCATATTGCTGGTTTTGGGGGTTTAGAAGGTTTATCTCATATAAGCTGCACAGCTGTCCTGTATTTTCTTGTACAAAAGTTAATAAAAACTGTCAGTCTTAGAAAAACATATTTTTTGGCATTTGGTTGGTTTCCTATGGCCGGAGCTACACACAAGGAGAAGTGTAACAACATCACATCATAAGAACAAAACCTTTCATCAAAGAGACAAGAAAATGAATGTGTTTTTTTTTTTTAAAAGATATATATTATGTTTGTCCGTCTAATTGCATAAACGGAACCATCTGCCTGATATTCCACAAATGGCTGACAGCTATACCTTGATTGTCTGAAGCATAAATACATAATGGGATAACAGCCATCTGTGCACAGGTGGACAATGTTTGCTTTGAGGTACATTACGGCATAGCTGGAGGTGACTCATCCCAGGCACCAGGTTGGAGTTTGTGGCTAGTTTCCAAGCAACTGATTGTCCTAATGGCTTCGCAGGATCTTATCATTCTGACATTTCAGTTTGACTTTTATTCCATGGATAACAAATAATTCCAGAAGCATCTTTATTTTAGCTCATGTTTTACTGACGTATTTGTTCTAACCTCTCTGTGCACCATTTGTAGTCATTCTATGATTTTATTGCTTAATGTGTTGCATGATGTTGACTGATACAAATGGGGACAGCACAATACAGCCTAAATGGATGGCCCCTGTGCTAATCATATTAAAGCAAATAGCTGTTTTCTTGAATGAAATAATAATAAGCAAACTTAAATAAATAAATAAACAAAAATACAAAGTCCCATACACCTAGAGTCCAAATAAAGTCCAACTTAAAATCCAAATCCAAAGAATTCTTGCAGGTGATTTCCCAATAAATCTTTATCCCTGAATAAGATTGATGGTATACTCCAGAAAATCTTCATATACCTCAAAGAAAAAAATCTCAACATAGTGTATTACCCCAAGTATTAAAATAAAGTGCCACACGTGTCACATGCAGACAAACAAAAGTGCCACAGCAATCGTGAGATATCAGGACTCCAATAACTCAATTAGTAACTCCACTGCACACAATATAAAGAGTGCATAATTACCCCAACATAAACAAAATCAGCATAGGATCCATAATAAAGATGAGATTGCCTCCAAACATTATGCACTCTTTATATTGTGTGCAGTGGAGTTACTAATTGAGTTATTGGAGTCCTGATATCTCACGATTGCTGTGGCACTTTTGTTTGTCTGCATGTGACACGTGTGGCACTTTATTTTAATACTTGGGGTAATACACTATGTTGAGATTTTTTTCTTTGAGGTATATGAAGATTTTCTGGAGTATACCATCGATCTTATTCGGGGATAAAGATTTATTGGGAAATCACATGCAAGAATTCTTTGGATTTGGATTTTAAGTTGGACTTTATTTGGACTCTAGGTGTATGGGACTTTGTATTTTTGTTTATTTATTTATTTATTTAAGTTTGCTTATTATTATCTCATTACTTATGTACTTCAGGGGAAGGAATGCTAAGTGACTTGTTGGGGTCTTGGTAGAGGGAGTTGAGTGCTATTTTTTGTATTGTTTTCTTGGAATATTTACCACCCTATGAAGGGCTGAAGAAGAGCTCTCTGATGCCTAAAAGTATTTTGATTTAAAGAATACGTAAACCCAACATTTCATATTCCTGATACATGCCTGTTGTACCATGTACTTGTATGAAAATGTATCCTGTTCTCTTTGTATTGCTTCCTTTGTGTGAAATCCCTGGTGTTCCTGCCAGTCCCTCTATTTTTTTATTAAAACTGACCACACTTGACAGACTGTTTTCCCCAGCATTCACAGGAGGAGACCTGCTCCACCTCCCAGCTGCACAAAGCTACAGCCACACTGTAAGCCTAATTACAGTGGCAAGGAGAACCTTGATGTGAAGGGAGGTGGGGGGCTCTGATCATGGCCCCAATGTAGGGGGGAAATATGATGAGGACCCTGGTGTAAGGTGGGATTCTGATGAGTTCCCTGGTGTAAGGGAAGATTCCGATGAGGACCTTGGTGTAAGGCAGTGCTTCTTAATTATTTTCTGTCATGCCCCCCCTAGGAAGAAGAAAACATTTCGCGCCCCCCGCGCGACTGTAAATAGTATCATTTGTCTATAAAATTGTTATAAGTACACCTCTGCATAACACTGTATCCTTATTAACGTATAAGAGAATAAAAAAAGAAAGAAATGTGGATCAATTTACAACAAAGAATAGCTTTATTAACTGTAGCAGAAAAGATTTAAAGTGCATTAGAAATTCAAAAAAAATTAAATCTTAATTAAACTATAAACATTTTTTGATTGGACATGTCAAACCATATGATACTGAAAAAAATACATAAAATAAATAAATAATAATGAATTCAAACCGATCACCAACATTTACTTAGGACCTAATCATTGGCGCCCCATCATTGTCAGTGGGAGGAATAGTCAGTGGTGTCAGTGGGAGGAATAGTGTCCCAACATTGGTGTCATTATTGGTGTCAGTGGGAGGAATAGTGTCCCAACATTGGTGTCAGTAGGAGGAATAGCGCCCCATCATTGGTGTCAGTGGGAGGAATAGCGCCCCATCATTGGTGTCAGTGGGAGGAATAGTGTCCCAACATTGGTGTCAGTGGGAGGAATAGTGTCCCAACATTGGTGTCAGTGGGAGGAATAGTACCCTGTCAGTGGGAGAGGAATAGTGCCCCATCGTTGGTGTCAGTGGGGGGGAGGAATAGTGCCCCATCGTTTGTGTCAGTGGGAGGAATAGTGCCCCATCGTTGGTGTCAGTGGGAGGAATAATGCCCCATCATTAGTATCAGTGACACCAATGATGCGGCACTATTCCTCCCACTGACACCAATGACACTTGCTGACCCCTGTTGCAGTATGATGGTGCTGCTGCAGCCAGCATATGTGGTTACAGCAGCACCTCTGCACTGCACACTTACCGGCTTTTCCCTCACTCGATTTTCGCGGGTCTGCTCGGCTCCGCCTCCTCGCCCGTGATTGGCCGCTGTGTACCTTTCCTGAGCTACAGTTCTGGCGGCCAATCACCGGTGAGGAGGCGGAGCCGAGCGGCAGGAGTGAGGGAGTGGCCGGAGTGACGGAAGGAGCAGCGCTTCCTGGATGGATCATCGTGGGAGCCAGGTAAGAGACAGCAGCCCTCTGCCCACCCCTGTACTTAGTGTCCCTTCTGTCGGAAGGGGGGGGGGGCGGCGACGTGCCCCCCCTGGTGGGCGCGCCCCACTATTTGAGAAGCACTGGTGTAAGGGAAGATTCCGATGAGGACCCTGGTGTAAGGGACGATTCTGATGAGGACACTGGTATAAGGAACGATTCTGATGAGGACACTGGTGTAAGGGTAGATTCTGATGAAGACCCTGGTGTAAGGAATGATTCTGATGAGGACACTGGTGTAAAGGGTAGATTCTGATGAGGACCCTGGTGTAAGGGACGATTCTGATGAGGACACTGGTGTAAGAGTGACACGATTCTGATGAGGACACTGGTGTAAGGGTAGATTCTGATGAGGACCCTGGTGTAAGGACCAATATTCTGATGAGGACACTGGTGTAAGGGTAGATTCTGATGAGGACCCTGGTGTAAGAGAAGATTCTGATGAGGACCCTGGTGTAAGAGAAGATTCTGATGAGGACACTGGTGTAAGGAACAATTCTGATGAGGACACTGGTGTATGCGTAGATTCTGATGAGGACCATGGTGTAAAGGGAGATTCTGATGAGGACCATGGTGTAAGGGGAGATTCTGATGAGGACCCTGGTGTAAGACCAGATTCTGATGAGGACCCTGGTGTAAGGGGAGATTCTGATGAGGACCCTGGTGTAAGACCAGATTCTGATGAGGACCCTGGTGTAAGACCAGATTCTGATGAGGACCCTGGTGTAAGAGAAGATTCTGATGAGGACCCTGGTGTAAGACCATATTCTGATGAGGACCCTGGTGTAAGGGGTAGATTCTGATGAGGACCATGGTGTAAGGGGATATTCTGATGAAGACCCTGGTGTAAGGGAGGAGATTCTGATGAGGACCCTGGTGTAAGGAAAGATTCTGATGAGGACCCTGCTGTAAGGGTAGATTCTGATGAGGACCCTGGTGTAAGAAAAGATTCTGATGAGGTCCCTGGTGTAAGACCATATTCTGATGAGGACCCTGGTGTAAGGGTAGATTCTGATGAGGACCATGGTGTAAGGGGAGATTCTGATGAGGACCCTGGTGTAAGACCAGATTCTGAAGACCAGAGGAGGACCCTGGTGTAAGAGAAGATACTGATGAGGACCCTGGTTTAAGAGCAGATTCTAATGAGTACCATGGTGTAAGGGGAGATTCTGATGAGGACCCTGATGTAAGAGCAGATTCTGATGAAGACCCTAGTGTAAAGGGAGATTCTAATGAGGACCCTGGTGTAAGGGGAGATTCTGATGAGGACCCTGGTGTAAGAGAAGATACTGATGAGGACCCTGGTTTAAGAGCAGATTCTAATGAGGACCATGGTGTAAGGGGAGATTCTGATGAGGACACTGATGTAAGAGCAGATTCTGATGAAGACCCTAGTGTAAAGGGAGATTCTAATGAGGACCCTGGTGTAAGGGGAGATTCTGATGAGGACCCTGGTGTAAGGGGAGATTCTGATGAGGACCCTGGTGAAAGGGAAGATTCTGGTGAGGACACTGGTGTAAGGGGAGATTATGAGGAGGACCCTGATGTAAGAGGGGCTCTGATGAGGTCCCTGGTGTAAGGGGGGACTGTGATGAGGGCCCTAGTCTATTGAGGTCCTTGATGTAAAGGAAGACTCTGATGTGTCCCAACTTGTATATTATACTATGTCTTATAAACTGGATGTCCAAGTTATTCAGAATGGTATTAATGTAGAATACCATGGAATGCAGTTTTAATACAACATATGTGTGTTAATAATTAGTCTTTATAAAGAGATATCTACTTCAGCTTTTTGATCTTTGGTTGTATCATTCTATGTGATTATGAATGATTTTTATATAAGCATGAATGGTCTGTACAGCAATAAACACTTTAATGACAATTTGACTCTTGCCTGCCCTACCAAATATTAAAAAAGGTTTTGTCAATGGAGTTTGGTATTGGCGCTCGTGGACCCCTGCTCTTTGGTGGGCATACGTTTTGCCTTATTGGAATTAGAGCGTTGTCTGCTCTATTATGCCTTTTTTATTGGTGCAATTGATAGCCCCTGCGTGGGTGTGTTTTGTTGCCTCTGTTTTATACTGTTTAAAATTAATAAAAACCATTGAAATACAAAAAAGGTTTTGTCTGGAGCTTGGCTGTAAGTTCAATGCTGGGTGAGTATGCAGGGGTGTGTAGTTCGACTGCACGTAGGAAGCCCCTCTCTGTCTGCCTCCAATAATACTCTTCTAAACACATACTTCTTTGTACAGCACACATGCACTATTATATTATCCAGGATTTCAGGCAAAGGGCTCATTTCCACAGTTGCAGAAAATGCATTAATTAAGCCTTTGGGTGTCTTGCAGTGTACATTTGCACTGCATTTGGCAACCTAGAAAAAAGTAGAAAACAAGTGCATCCAGAACCGTTTTATTGGGCTATTAATAATGATGTACAGGTGTACCTCGTTTTACGAATTTAATGCGTTCTCTGGGACGTTTTGTATTGCGAAAAATTTGTAAACCGAGGCAAACGATTTCCCATAGGAATGCACTAAATACCAATTAATCCGTTCCGGAGGTCAGAAAAAAGTCAAAACAAGTTTTATCTGTTCAAAACTCTTTATAAAGTGCATTTTAACCGCCTCCCACCTGCCATATAAGGAAATGACGGGCCCAAGGCGGTTCCCTCGTTTTGGGAGGACGTCACATCACGTCCTCCCACTCTAACCGTGCGTGTGCGCGGCTCCAGGGGCGCCTAGCGTGGCGATCGGTGGTGCGCTGTGTCCCTCGGATGCAGTGGATCACCGATCAACGGAAAGAGCCGAAGATGTTGGCTCGGTCATGTGATCAGCTGTGTCCAATCACAGCTGATCGCATATAAATAGGGAAATGCTGGTTATCGGCATTTCTCTCCTCACGAGCTGTCACACTGACAGCTCATGAGGAGAGCAGAGCCGGTAATGGGCATTTCTCAGAGGGGACATATACACTGATCATCAGGGCACTGATGGTCAGTGCCCTGATGATCAGTGTAGTTCCATCAGTGCCACCTGTCAGTGCACATCAATGCCTCATATCAGTGCCCATCTGAGCTGCCAGTCAGTGCCACTTATGAGTGCTGCCAATCAGGGCCACCTATCAGTGCCAGTCAGTGACACCTATCAGTGCCCATCAGTGCCACCTAACAGTTCCAGTCAGTGCCGCCTATCAGTGCCAGTCAGTGCCACCTATCAGTGCCACCTATCAGTGCCATATATGAGTACTGCCTTTCAGTGCCCATCAGTGATGTCTGTGAATGCCCATCAGTGATGCCTGTCAATGCCCATCAGTGCCATTTACCAGTGCCTCCTCATTAGTGCCCATCAGTGCCGCCTATCAGTGCCCATCAGTGCAGCCTCATTAGCGCACATCAGTGAAGGAGCAAAATTACTCATTTACAAAATTGTTTAACAGAAACTAAGAAAAAATTATTTTTTTCAAAATGTTCAGTTGTTTTTGGTTTGTTTATCAAAAAATAAAAAAAAAAACAGTGGTGATTAAATACCACCAAAAAAAAGCTCTATCTGTCTCAAAAAAATGATAAAAATTTCATATGGGTACAGTGTTGCATGACCGCGCAATTGTCATTCAAAGTGCGACAGCGCTGAAAGCTGAAAATTGGCCTGGGCAGGAAGGGGTGAAAGTGCCGGGTAGGCAAGTGGTTAAAAGCACTTTGACTTCTTTAAAAAATAAAAAGAAGGTTACTGCAATTTTCAAACCATTGGCTGTTTTTGCAATCTGGATTAGAACTCCATCTTTGTTTTGGATTGAGAAGGTAAAGGTTGGAACTACTGACACGTCTTTATCACTGTCCATATCCCAGGTACGGAAATTTCCACTCCCTCACAATACAGCCTGTATCATATGTCCTTTGCCTGCAATGTTAATGTCACTAAGACCTCATGAAGGCACAAAGCCATGAGCTGTAATCCAAATTAATTCTTCACATAATGACAGAGGAGACCTCTGAAAGGTTGGTTAGTAGTCAGAATCCACACCAGACTTCCATCCACTAAGACCAATGTGACATGTATTGAGGGAAAGTCATGGTGTTTCTCTAGTTTACTACTACCCTTGGCAGTGGTCCCTAGGCCAGAGTTACATTATAGTATATCACTATAGAAAATATAGAAATAGAATACAATGGAATAGCTGATGTAAATATATTTCTTAACATCATGTGTGCCAGTGCTAAATATCATTTTTGCATCTAACTTCTACATTTATTCTCTGGTTAACATCCAGATATGAATACATGTTTGGTCTCTAATTCATCACTTATGGAAAGCTAAAGTGGGCTCACGTGCAATGTGCTAATGGGCAACTTGAGCACACCTTAAGCATTGTGACAGAGTGATGAATAGTCACTCCTAGTACTTATTTTATTACTATTATTATTATACAGGATTTATATGGCACCAACAGTTTGCTCAGCTCTTTACAATATAAAGGGAGACAATACAGCAACAATACAGTTCAATACAAGAGGGAAAGGAGGGCGCTGCTCCTTGGTGCTTACTTAGCCTTCCACTGGCTAATAAAAAACAAAAACCACTCAAACCTGAAAATGTGCGGAAAATGTGCGGAAAATGTGTGTTGAAACTTGCAAAAAAAAAGATCAAAGATGCCGACCCTAAAAAATGAAGCCTTAATGATAAGCTTTTATTTCTTCAAACGTCTTCTGTATTATTATTCAGATTTTATTCTGAATGTATTATACTTCAGTTAGCACAGTTTCTCATTTCTATTACAGATAAAGCTACATTAATGCATTTCAATGAAACACAGTATTAAGTTCTCCATTTTACTGCGGTGCAGTTCATGGTAATTATCTATTACAAAGCGCTCGTGGCTTAGAGGAGTTAAAAGAAAATGTGCGGGAGTATATTTACTTTATAGAAAGCGCTTCCTGTAATGGATTAAACGTTTGTTCTTCTACCAAATATACTCTTACTGGTAATGGATATGAAACCTGATATTTTATAATACTATACTCAATGTTTAATATACGGCCTAGCTCTAGCAGGATCTCCATTTTTATGGTTTTATTTGCACTGGCTGAAATGACAGCAAATTATCTCTCAGGCTTAAAGTAGAACTAAGGGCAAAACTAATTTTGGATAAAGTAAGGGAGGGATATAACCCCTGTCATTGGGGAGATTTCCCTTCACTTCCTGTCTCATAGCCAAAAGAGGAAGTGAGATGAAATCCCCACAAAATGAGGGAAACCAACATGGAAGAAAAATATATTTGAAATATATTTTAAAGATATTCTTCTCAAATATATTGACATATATTTGAAATGCTACAATTTTGGCTGTATTCAATATATTTCAAAATATACTTCAATAAATATATATATATATATATATATATATATATATATATATATATACACTGTATGTTGAAATGCGTTTTAATTACAAAATATATGAAAAATATGTCTTTAAAAATACAAATCTACATTATAGGAATTCATTTACTTATATATGTAAAAAAACATATGTTAAAATTACTTTTTTTATATGTTAAAAAAAATCTGAGGGATATATTTTAAAGAAATATATTTTTAATAATATAAATTATGTATATGAATATATATATATATATATATATATATATATATATATATATATATATATATATATATATGTAAAAAAGTATGTTAAAATTACTTTTTTATATGTTAAAAACAATCTGAAGGATATATTTAAAAAAATATATATTTTTTAAAATATATATATTTTTAATATATTCTTCAAATTTTTTTTAACATATAAAAAAGTCATTTTAACATATATTTTTACACATATTTGTACATGCATTCCAAAAATGTAGATTTGTATTTTTAAAGACATACAGTATATTTGAAATGTATATTTATGTCAATATATTTGGGAAGAATATTTGTAAAATATATTTCAAATATAGTTTTCTTCCATATAGGTGACCACCAGAACTAATGTTTTCACTGGAAAATTTCCCATCTATTAGTGTTCGGGCGACAACCCAAAATTTTGGGATTTCCTTTCACCTTGAGCCCTGGTTCACACTGAGGCGGTGCGGAATTTGCGAATTCCGCACCAGAATTGCACCCTTTTCATGCGAGCCGCAGCGGGTGTGTATGTTAAGTTAACAACACCCCGGAATCGGTCCGCAAAATGCTTTGCGACATGCAGAATCGAGTCGCATGTGATCCGATTCTAGCGCGGACCCAAAAAAGGGTCCTGCACCTTTTTGGTGTGGGTGCGGTGCGATTAGAGCCATACAAAATGTATGGCTCCGATCACACTGCACACAAATCACATGTGATTTGCACAGGAATGCAGTGCGGTTCCTGTGCAAATCACATTCGATATACAGAGCTGCACGTATGTGAACCCAGGCTTAGGGTTATTTTTCCAAGACAGGTATCCACCATTTTTTAAAAACTCATTAGATCTCTTTCACATTGAAACTTGTAAAAATAAAATAGAACAAATGTCCACACATGGACAATATATTGTAGCAGAATAAATGTTTTACATTTTAAAATCACATCTGAATCAGACCGTGTAGCTACAAATGATGATTATTATTTCAGGAAGAGTTACTAATGATAGTTACTAATTTATGTATTTATTGCCCAATGGCTATGGATGTTATTTATTTTTCAGGAAACAAATACTTGCAGCCAAGGTAGTACTGGCTACATTATTATATTCATGCTCAGGAGGCTCTAGGAGTAATCTGAGATTGTGAAAAATAATAATTTGCTTGGAGCTCTCCGGAACACAAGGGACAGCCTACAGACTCTGTAGTAATTGAGCTTGGCAGGTGAAGGCTATAAGCGGCCTCTATTTACTTTCTAAGGAGAAAGGAGGTCAGTAACTTAAAAAAAAAAAAAAAGACAAATTAAGTATTTGATTTTATTTCTAACTTCAGACATATGCCTGGCTCTCTCAGACATAAACCTTTCAGCCTGGGTTCACATATATGCGGTGTGGTACATCACATGTGATTCGCACAGGAATCGCACCGCATTCCTGTGCAAATCACATGCGATTTGTGTGCAGTGCGATTGTATCTATTTGCACCGCACCCGCACTAAAAAGATGCAGGACCCTTTTTTGGGTCCGCACTAGAATCAGATCACATGAGTATTCACACCTATGCGACTCGATTCTGCACGTCGCAAAGCATTTTGCAGACCGATTCCGTGGTGTTGTTAACTTAACATACACACCTGCAGCGGTTTGCATGAACGGGGTGCGATTCTGATGCAGTGCGGAATTCGCACAGAAAACGCGAATTACGCACCGCATCAGTGTGAACCTGGGCTTAATCCAAAATCTGGGGTGAAAAACAGGCTTTGCCCCATTGTTGTCCTACCCTTATATCATGTGATACTAAACACTGCACCTGGGGCCGGGACAAAGGGTGGGCAGGAGGGGCGGCTGCCTTGGGTGCCGTGGCTTACTGTAGGGACGGGGCACCTTCCTTCTGTTACATAGCTGACAGGAGTAGTGATTTTGACAATTGAGTGACTCCTGGCCATAGGATTCCCTATGCTTGCACATCTTGAAAGGGGGGGCGCAGTTTGGCATATTTGTCCTGGGCGCCTTGTCCTGGAGGACCTTGTCCTGGGCGCTGGAGGACCTCGTCCTGGGCGCTGGAGGACCTTGTCCTGAGCACTGGAGGACCTTGTCCTGAGCGCTGGAGGACCTTGTCCTGGGTGCTGGAGGACCTTGTCCTGGGAGCTGGAGAACCTTGTCCTGGGCGCTGGAGGACCTCATCCTGGGCGCTGGAGGACCTTGTCCTGAGCACTGGAGGACCTTGTCCTGAGCGCTGGAGGACCTTGTCCTGGGCGCTGGAGGACCTTGTCCTGGGAGCTGGAGGACCTTGTTGCAGCACCTGTCCCATGAAGCTAGTCAGACTGGTTACAACTTTATTGTACAATCTCCTTTAGATTTATTGACTGTACAGTGCAAAGACCTACATGTTTATATAGAAGTTGAATGCAATGTTCAGGAAAACTTGTTAAATCTGAAAGCCTGATGCCCAACATATGACTCATGGGTGGGGTTTCCATTTGCACCAAGTTAAATGGTCGCCCTAACTACAGGTGCAAGGTGTAACATGGTGAAAAGGTGGAGTCAGCCTTTAACCCCTTTGTGATGAACACTGTATGTGCAGTAACAAAAGGGTGGACTTTATTGCCCACAGGCCATTATTCGTTTTCTTTTTTTAGTTTTTTTTCCTCTGTTTTTGCCTGGTGATCTGGCCAGAAACATACCTCCTGTATTACAGTGCCTACACTCTGGATGAGGGAGCAACAGAGACACCTTTGGAAAGCATCAGTGTCAATCTGGGGGGAGGGTAGTTTTAAATCATTACAGGGGTGTCAAACTGGTGGCCCTCCAGCTGTTGCGAAACTACAAGTCCCATCATGCCTTTATCTTTGGGATTCATGCTTGTAACTGTCAGTCTTGCAATGCCTCATGGGACTTGTAGTTTGGCAA